ACTGCCACCCAGGCGCGTCAGGGGGGAAGCCAAGGAAGACGCAGGGAACAGCACGGGGGGACAGCTTGTACGCAGACAAGTCGCGGACAAACGCCCGAGATCCCCAGACCCAAAACGCAGACGCATCGCCAACCTTCCTGGTCCACCGCAAGATGGGGGAGGTCTCTAGCAAGGAGACCCGGGGCTAAAGGTTGAGCTGATGCGCGGCGTACTGAACGGCAAACGGCCACAGAAAATGGGGGGCAGCCGCATGCATCATGGACGTACGAGCGACGTCCATGACCATGCCAATGCGGTGCTCAGCAATCCCATTTTGCTGTGGAGAGGCTGGAAGCGTGAAGGTCTGACGAATGCCCCGTGCACAACAAAAGGCTCCCAGACGGGCAGAGGAAAACTCCTCGCCTCTGTCACAGTGGAGACGCAGAACAGGAAAGTTCAAGCCGAAACTCTCTCTGAGCTGGAGACGAGCTGCGCGGATCCAGTCGATCAACACCTCAGTGACGTCACCCTTACTGCACAAGGGGACGACTGTGGTGTAACGCGAGTAGTTGTCAACCACCAACAGGAAGTAACGCTCGTTCCTTTGTCCACGGACGCGGGCGGGGCCCCACACGTCCATGTGAAGAGTCTGCAGTGGACCCTCTGTCGGAGGAAACTCGGAAGAGTGAGGGGCGGCGCGCTGGAGGTAGGGGCAGGCCCCGGAGGTAGGGGAGGGAGAGACCGGGGAAGACCAGAGACAAGGACACGGGAGGCCATGCCTCGGAGACGAGGCAGGGAGGGGTGACCAAGGCGGTGGTGCCAAAGGAGAGTCTGGTGGGACAGGAGACGACACGACCAGGGAGCAGACTCAGGACCAGACCTGGACGCTGCAGCGAACACCTGACTTGACACAGCTACCTGACCAGACTCAGCAGTCGGAGGAGACTTAGTATTAAGTGTGTACAGGCTCGACCCCGGCCGGCGGGTGAACGTGGCCAAGTATCGGCCTGTCCGAGCACACGTGCAATTGGTCACCCGCTGATTCGGAGGAGTGAACTGGTCAACCCCCCTATCTTGTAGATCAGCTCCACTCACTAAGTTCGTAGAGAACGAGGGGAGGTAGAGGCCTGACAGGGTGCCAAAGGGGGCTGCCGGGTACGGTAAGACAGTGGAGAAGCTAGCAAGGACAGGACCCCCAGAGGGGTCTGCCAGGGAGACTGCAACCGGCTGACTAAGCTGCGTTAGCGTGGTGCGGTCTCGAAAGAAGGAGCAGGACGCACCCGAGTAAAGGGTGAAGGTGTGTAAGGCCTGAGCTGACGTACTATAGTACCTGAGAGAGCTGACTCACCAGCACATGGGGCAGCAGACGCACTAGCACCTGGGGCAACAGACACACTAGCACCTAGAGCAGCAGCCTCACCAGCACCTAGCGCAGTGGCCTCAATGCCCGGGTCAGGCGGTACACACAGGTAACAGTCACCCTCAACACTAGTAGTCACAGCATACATGGCAGCAAGGATAGCATCATACTCAAGATCAAAGATGGCAACCCCCGCCCTACACAGATCTCCCGAGCAAGGGATCTCTGACGCCTCAGGGAACTGGTGACGCCACGCGTTGGTCAGGCGGCCGAAGTAGCGCGCTTGGTGGAGTGCAGGCCTCCCCACTGCTCACGTGCGCGGTCACCGGTACGTAGGACGTAAGTGCAGGGACCAGTACCCCCACCTTGTTGACGCGTAGCGTACCATTCACAAAGCTGCTGAGGGGACAGGGTCTCACGACCGCGCTGCTGCTGCTGGCGCGGACCACCACCGGACCCACTCCTCTGCGCAGAGTCGCGACCCGCTCCACCGCCACCGCCGCCGCCGCCGCTGCCTCCGCCGCCTCTGCCACCTCTGCCTCCACCACCACCTCCGCCGCCTCCGCTCCCTCTGCCACCACCGCCGCCTTCTCCGCCTCCACTGCTGCCACCGCCGCCGCCACCCCCGCCGCCACTCCCACCACCACCCCCACTCCCTCCACTCCCTCCACCACCACCTCCACCGCCCTCGCTAGCCCCTCCAGTTCCCTTGCCCCCCTTGCCCTTGCCGGTGCGGCGTCTCCCGCTAGGGGCAGACGTAGCGCTGACCCTGTAGAAACCAACGAGGTTTGCAGCAGCAGCAAAAGCAACAGAGGGCAAGAGGGGGGAGGGGGAACACCCCTCAAAGATGGGGGTGCGAGGGTCACCACGAGAGGCTCCTACAGCTACTATGCTCTTCTCTGCTGCTAGGAGGCGCTCCTCGAGGAGGTCAACGGTGAGAGTGGTGGGGCAAACTAAGAGGAAGTGGTCCTTGACTAAGCGAAGAGAGTCAGGGAGCCGGGTGACTATGTACTAGAGGGTGATGTACATGAGGGGGGGGGTTCTTGGCGCAGAACGCAGTAGGAAGCGCAGCGCGGTAGCGAGTGTCACTGGTGCGAAGGTGTGTAATGAGGTTAGCGACTGTGGGAAGGGCAGCAAGGTCAGGGAAGAGGTACACTAGCATGAGGCGGCATAGTGCAGCAGTGGCAGGGGAAGAGTAGCGTGCAACTACAGCGTCGTACATTGTCTGAGCACTCTTGTACTGGCTTAAGTGTGCACGCCCATTGGTCGGTAAGTGGCGACGCACAGCAAGACGGGCAGAAGCATCGCGTGTCGCCCATTGTGAGCGAATAGTGCTGTCAGCAGTAGCAGGCGGGGAAGGGGAGGCATCAGAGGTGAGGTCGAACAGGGAGAGTCCGTTTGCCCTATCGCACTGGAGGAACAGCTGGAGGTCATCGACCCAAACCTCAAAGTCAACAGCACGGCCCTTAGTGTCAAAGGTAAGAACACTAGGGGTAGCCATGACTGTAGAGGTCTAGCAAGAAGTGAGTTCACCAGTACGAGTAAGTAGGGCCGGTGCGCGTCGGTAAGACTGGTAGCAGCTGAACGGCAGGGTGGCTCAGCGGCTCAGCTGCTCGGCAGCTGGGCTGCTTGGCTGTCGGGCGGCTTGGCGGCTGGGCGGCTCAGCGGTCGGGCGGCTCGGCGGTTCGGCTGTGGGGCGGCTCGGGGTCGGGCGGCTTGGCGGCTGGGCGGCTCGGCGGTCGGGTGGCTCGGCGGCTAGGGGGCTCGGTTGGTGGGTGGCTCGGCGGCTTTGCTGTGGGCGGCTTGGCGGCTCTGCTGCTGTGCTGATCGGGAGAGGCGGCGTTGGGGCCGCTAGGTGCAGCGACGGGGCCTCTTAGGGAGGGTCGCACCGACGGGGCCGTGTGGTGGCGGCGACGGGGCCGCTTAGAAGGCGGCGTCAAGGCCGCTTAGAGGCAGCGACTGGGCCCCTTAGGAGCGGTAGCGGGGCCGCTTAGGGGCGGCGACGGGGCTACGTAGGGTGAGAGGCGGCGACGGGACCGCTAGGGGCAGCGACGAGGCCGTTAGGGGCGGCGACAGGGCCTCTTAGGGGCAGCGACAGGGCCGCTAAGGGTGAGAGGCGGCGACAGGGCCGGTAGGGGCGGTGACGGGGCCGCTAAGGGTGGCGACGGGGCCGCTAAGGGCGGCGACGGGGTCGCGTAGGGTGAAAGGCGGCGACGGGGCCGTTAGGGGCGGCGACGGGGCCGCTAAGGGCGGCGACGAGGCCGCAGAGGGGCGGCAACGGGGCCGCGTAGGGGCGGCGACGGGGCCGCGTAGGGTGAAAGGCGGCGACGGGGTCGCTAGGGGCGGTGACGGGGCCGCTAATGGCGGCGTCGGGGCCGCGTAGGGGTGGTAACACGGCCGCGTGAGGGGCGGCGACGAGGCCGCTAGGGGCCGCTAGGGGCCTAGAGAGGGCGGCGAAAGGTGCGCCTTGGGTAGGAGCGACTGGTGCTCCGGTCAGAAAGGAAATTTTCAGTGGTGGGCCCAAGGAAGCGTTCCCACTAGGGAACCTGCTCTATACCATGTGAAGAATGAGGAATGAATGAACTAGCACAAAGTTGGGTACAAGTTGGAAACCCTAGGAAATTGTACCCCATAGTGTCTACCCCACTATAGCCTACACAAGCTTTATAACATGAGTTTGACAAGTAACACCAACGAATCAGTATAGTGTACCGAGTCACACTGATTCGGATATGATAGGGTATGGGTGTACAGGGCCCGCAAAAGGAACTCACAGCCAACTCAGGTAGCTCCCGCTGACTAGAATGGTTCATACAAGACTAGGAAATTTCGGCATGACTTTATCGGTATGAGGACGATGTATATATATTTGTAGGAAAGAGGGGAAAGAAAGAAGAGGAAGAAATGATCAAGGAATAAGAAGAGGTAGTAGGGAAAAGAAGATAGTGGAAGGAAGAGAAGAGAAGGATAGAAGAAGGGGAAAGGAAAAGGGAGGTGGGAAGAGAAGAGGAGATAGGGAGAGAGGCTAAGGAGGAGGAAGCACCAAGGGACCAAACACAGCAGCAACCTGCCCAACATCGCAGGCACATCGTTTCAAGCACAGCTACTATTGTTTTTTACACATATGCATCATATATATATGCATGTCAGCCACACTCTCGAAGCACCCTGTGACGTGGTGCCAAGTACCCTGCCCCGCACTAAGTGGGATTGGTGCGGGCATCCACCCGTCGTTGGATCCCCCCAACTGCCGCACTGCATGCTGGATGATGCATTGAGCCTGCGCGCGCTGCAGTGCTAGGAGAGGCGTGTAGTGAGTCCTACCTCAAATATCCGTGCCGATCCGTCATCCCCCCCACCCCTATCCCTCCTCCGTTGTGCTATCCTCTTTGCGCAGAGCCCCAAAAACTGACACAGCGGCTCGCTCAGAAGGCCAAAAGTCTCAGCCACGCACGCGTAAAAGTGTGGTGCCGGCTGCAACCCCTCTAAGTGCGGCCCCTAGTGACGCAGCTTCTCCTGCACCCGCCTAGCTGCTGCCACTCCAATCTGTGTGGGGGTCGCCAGTCTCAGCTGCACGTTCCCCTCCCGCTGTGGATCCGCTATGGAGACATCCACAAGAACCATCAAACTCTGCCCAACGTCGCGACAGGTGAGGTCTAGGATGCGGGAGGAGGTGCCTACCCGGCCTGTGCGTCCGACTGGTCCCTGCTGCTGCGCTGGCTACTGCCCTGTCTGGGCCCTCGGTGCCTCCTCTCCGGTCGTCTCTCTCCCCCTCTCCTCTCCTCCACCTACCTGTCCTCTCCCCTCCCCCTCTCTACCCTCCTCCAACCCTCCCAACCCCCCTGCTCGATCCCCTGCTTCCGCTCTCACTCCCTGGTCCTCCCCTCCCGATCCCGCTCCCCCCCCTGTATCTCCGTCTGCTCTCTGCTGCTCTCGCCCCTACCCCACCCCCGGGCCCACACCCGTAGGTACGACGCCCTGGGCCCGCGGCCCCCGCTGGCTCTCCTGCTGCTGCCCTTGCTGTCCCCCCTCCACGTCCTGGCCCGTCTGCTCCCCCTGCCGTCCCCTCTGCCCGCCTGCCCCTCGCGCCACCCGACCCCGCAGCTGATGCTGTCCCCACTGCCTCCCGCTGCCCGGCTGTCCCGCCTCACCCCTCTGCTCCAGCGGTCCCTCAGCCTGTGTCTCCTCCCCCACCACCGGCTGTCCCTGCCGCTCGAACTGCCTCCATTTGTGTGAACAGCGTGGAGTCCTCCACCTTCACCGCAAAGCCCACCTCGACCGTGAAGTCTCGAAGCATGTACTTCACCGTGTCGTGGATGGTCGTGGCAATGCCGAATCGTGGGCACCGAACCGCGTGATGAGGCACCGTCATGTCGTCGATCGCCTGTCCACAGGAGCACTGACCTGCAAGGGCAAACTGGGGGATAGGGAGACCAAGACGGGAGTCGAACCCGAGACCTTGCGATTACCAGACTTGACCCAAACAACTACGGCAAAAACACCGTTCGATATGTGCCGTGATAAATTTAACACTAATGGTTCAGTTTGCCTTGAAAATTCACACTGAAAAAATCAGCATAATTCTAACCCCCAAGGCTGATTGGGACACCACTTTGGACACTGCACACTGATCGATCAACATACCCTGAAACCAATCTGAGGGCCTGCCTGCAAGTGTAGCCGGGGTTTCCGCGATATACACGCACTCGCGTAGCGGAGGGGGCTTCTTGAGGGGGGTGGGGGGGGGTAGTGTAAGGAATTTTCTCGATATTCCTTAGCGCGCCCTGCAACATCGCGTACAGCAGCAGCCGTTGTTCGCCCGTTACTGCTAACGGGGCTTCGCCGACTTTGCGCGCACTGTTTCACCAAACCTCGCACTGCTGACCCGGCCGTGTCGGCCCACGCTTCGGGAATAGCCCGAGCCTCGCCTCCAGCGTAGCACTAGCTAGCTCTGTCAGATTTATATGACATAGTTGCTGTAGGCTATAGTGGGGTAGCACATATGGGGTACAGGTTTCTAGGGTTGCATTTGTACCCCATCTTTCCTTAGTCATTCATCATTCCTGTTCTTCAACTCTCACATGGTATAGAGCGGGTTCCTTGTGGGAACTTCGCCTAGGGCCCATCGAAGCGCGCCCCGAGGCGCGCGAACTTTTTTTTCCAGCGACCCTCCGTGTCGCCCTTCCCTCGCGGCCCCGCCGCCCCTTCAGACACGGCCCTGCCGCCCCTTTTCAAACGCGGCCCCGCCACCCTTTTCAGACGCGGCCCCGGCACCCTTTTCAGACGCGGCCCCGCCGCCCTTTCGGACGCGGCCCCGCCGCCCTTTCGGACGCGGCCCCGCCGCCCCTTTCAGACGCGGCCCCGCCGCCCCTTTCAACGCGGCCCCGCCGCCCTTTCGGACGCGGCCCCGCCGCCCCTTTCAGACGCGGCCCCGCCGCCCATTCGGACGCGGCCCCGCCACCTCTTTCGGAAGCGGCCCCGCCGCCCTTTCAGACGCGGCCCCGCCGCCCGTTCAGACGCGGCCCCGCCACCCTTTCCGACGCGGCCCCGCCGCCATCACTCGCGGCCCCACCGCCTCGTCGCGGCCCCGCCACTGAGTCGCGGCCCCGCCACCTCTTCGTTGCGGCCCCGCCACTCCTACCTGCGGCCCTACAGCCGCCTCAACTACGGCCTTTTGCCGCCCTACCTGTGGCCCAACGGCCGCCTTATCAGCGGCCCACCTGCCGCCCTACCTGCGGCCCACCCGCCGCTTTCCCTGCGGCCCTTCGCCGCCCTACCCGCGGCCCTTTGCCGCTCTACCAGCGGCCTACCCGCCGCCCTACCCGCGGCCCTACAGCCGCCCTACCTACGAGGCCCAGCATCACCCGAGCCGCCCAGCAGCAGCCGAGCCGCCCAGCCGCCCAGCCGCAGCCGAGCCGCCCAGCAGCAGCCGAGCCGCCCAGCAGCAGCCGAGCCGCGCCGGCGCAGCCGAGCCGCCCAGCACCAGCCGTGCCGCCCAGCAGCAGCCGAGCCGCCCAGCAGCAGCCGAGCCGCCCAGCAGCAGCCGAGCCGCCCAGCAGCAGCCGGGCCGCCCAGCCGCAACCGAGCCGCCCCGCAACGGCCGTCGAGTCGCCCGACCTGCCCTGTCTGGTGAGCACAGCCCTGCCCTACTGCTACTGCGTGCCCTTCCCCACTGCTTGCACTGCTAGTCTGTCGTCATGGCTACCCCCAGTATCCTAGGTTTTGACGCTGAGGGCAGAGCCATAGACTTTGAGGTCTGGGTCGACGACCTGCAGTTGTTTTTACAGTGCGATAGGGCAGACGGCCTTTCTCTCTTTGACCTCACCTCTTGCGCCTCTCCTGCCCCTGCTGCTGATGCTGACCCCACTGTTCGCTCTCAGTGGGCCACCCGCGATGCTGCTGCACGTCTTGCAGTGCGTCGCCACTTGCCCACCACTAAGCGCGCGCACTTTAGTCAGTACAAGAGTGCTCAGACCTTGTACGACGCTGTAGTTGCGCGCTACTCTTCCCCTGCCACTACTGCACTGAGCCGTCTCATGCTACTGTACCTCTTTCCTGATCTCACTGCCTTTCCTACTGTCGCTGATCTCATAACGCACCTTCGCACTAGTGACACTCGCTACCGCGCTGCCCTTCTTGCTCAGTTCTGCGCCAAGAACCCCCCCCCCCCATGTACATCGCTCTCTACTACATAGTCACTCGTCTCCCTGACTCCCTCCGCGTAGTCAGGGACCACTTCCTCTTGGTCTGTCCCACCACCCTCACTTTCGACCTTCTCGAGAAGGCCCTCCTAGCGGCAGAGAAGAGTATAGTCGCTGTAGGAGCCTCTCGTGGAGACCCGCGCACCCCCATCTTTGAGGGGTGTTCTCCTTCCCCCCTGCTGCCCTCTGTTGCCTCTGCTGCTGCTGCCGACCTGCTCGGTCTTGAGTCGGTCGGCGCGGCGTCTGCCCCCAGCGGGAGACGCCGCACTGGCAAGGGCAAGAGGGGCAAGGGCGCGGGTGGAGCTGGCGGGGGCGGTGGAGGTGGCAATGGAGGCGGCGGAGGGAGTGGGGGTGGCGGTGGGAGTGGTGACGGGAGTGGTGGTGGTAGCGGCGCCAGTGGCGGCGGAGGTGGTGACGGCGAAGGCGGTGGGAGCGGAGGCGGTGGAGGTGGCGGCGGTGGAGGCGGTGGTGGCGGAGGAGGTGGAGCTGGTCGGGGGAGTGCTCCGCAGAGGAGCGGCTCTAGTGGTGGTCCGCGGCAGCAGCAGCAGCAGAAGCAGCGTGCTCGGGACGTTCTCACGCCTCAGCAGCTCCGTGAGTGGTACACGCAGGGTCAGCGTGGTGGAGGCTTTGGCCCGTGCACCTACGTTCTTTGCAGCGGCGACCGCGCGGGTGAGCAGTGTGGGGGTGCCCACGCCACCAGGTGCTGCTTTGGCCGCCTGACGGACGCCTGGCGTCAGCAGTTCCCTAACGCTTCTGAGATCCCTCGCTGGGGGGACCTTTCTAGGGCTGGTGTAGCGATCTTTGAGCTGGACTTTGATGCTATCCTTGCTGCCATGTATGCTGTGTCTATTAGTGATGAGGGTGACTGTTACCGGTGTTTCCCGCCCGACCCGGGCATTGGTACTGCTGCGTTCGGTACTTGTGAGGCGTCTACTCTAGGTGCCAGAGCGGCTGCGCTCTCAAGTACTGGTGAGGCTGCGCTCTCAGGTACTACGTCGGCTTCGGCCTCCCTCACTTTCACTCTTGACTCAGGAGCTTCTCGCTCCTTCTTTCGAGACCGCACCACACTCACGCCGCTTGGTCGGCCGGTTGCGGTCTCCCTGGCTGACCCCTCTGGGGGTCCTGTCTTCTCTCACTTTTCCACTGTCCTCCCGTGTCCAGCTGCCCCCTCGGGCACCCTGTCTGGCCTGTACCTCCCCTCGTTCTCGACGAACTTGGTGAGTGGTGCGGACTTGCAGGATGCGGGGGCTCACCAATTCACTCCTGCGAGTCAGCGGGTGACCCACTACACGGACGCACGCACAGGCCGGCACCTGGCCACGTTTTCTCGTCGGCCGGGGTCGAGCCTCTACACCCTGACCACTGAGTCTCCTCCTGTCCCTGCGTCTGGTCCGATAGCTGCGTCAAGTCAGGTGTTTGCTGCTGCGTCCCGGTCTGGCCCTGAGTCTGCCCCCTATTCGTGTCGTATTCTGTCTCACGAGACTCTCCTGTGGCACCACCGTCTTGGCCACCCCTCCTTGCCCCGTCTTCGGAGCATGGCTTCCCGTGTCCTTGTCATAGGTCTTCCCCAGTCTCTCCCTCCCCTTCCTTCGGGATTAGGACCTTCTTGTGTCCCCTGTGTCGAGGGGCGCCTCAGGGCTGCTCCTCACTCCTCCCAGTTTCCCCCGACAGAGGCTCCTCTGCAGACACTTCACATGGACGTGTGGGGCCCGGCCCCCGTCCGTGGGCAGGGTCACGAGCGCTACTTCTTGTTGGTGGTTGACGACTACTCGCGTTACACCACAGTCTTCCCCTTGCACAGCAAGGGTGCTGTCACTGAGGTGCTGATCGACTGGATCCGCGAGGCTCGTCTCCAGCTCAGGAGGAGCTTCGGCTCGGACTTTCCTGTTCTGCGTCTGCACTCTGACCGAGGTGGGGAGTTCTCCTCTCGCCTTCTGCGAGACTACTGTCGTGCACGGGGGATCCGCTAGACCTTTACGCTTCCGGACTCTCCACAGCAAAATGGGATTGCTGAGCGCCGCATTGGCATGGTCATGGATGTCGCTCGTACGTCCATGATGCATGCGGCTGCCCCCCATTTTTTGTGGCCGTTTGCGGTTCTGTACGCGGCGCATCAGCTCAACCTTCACCCCTGGGTCTTTCGGCCCGCGATGTCCCCAGTCTTACTGTGGACGGGGAAGGTCGGCGATGCGTCTGCGTTCCGTGTCTAGGGATATCGGGCGTTTGTCCATGACTTGCGTGCGGACAAGCTGTCCCCTCGTGCTGCTCCCTGTGTCTTCCTTGGCTTCCCCCCTGACGCTCCAGGGTGGCAGTTCTACCACCCCTCCTCTCGTCGTGTTCTGTCCTCCCAGGACGTCACGTTCGACGAGTCAGTCCCCTTCTACCGCCTCTTCCCCTACCGCACTCCTTGCCTCCCCCCGCCACCGGACTTCCTTGTGCCGGCTCCCCCCCCGTTAGACCCCCTCCCCCCTCAGGTTCCTGCCCCCTCAGGTGTGTCCCAGGTAGACGCCGTTGACCCGGTCGAGGTTACTGGTGACTCTGGTGCTGCTGCGCGTGCTGAGCGTGGGGGTGCTGACTCTGGGGGTGTTGTACGCGTCGGTGCTGAGGCTGGGGGTGCCGAGCCTGGAGGTGCTGCTACTGAGGGTGCTGAGCCTGGG